AGATAGTACAGAGAAAATGCTCCCTATGAAACCATGATTCAAAGACGAACTATTCTTGAATGATAATAAAATCCTACATACCTACAGCAATTAAAAATTGCATTTTAAAATTGGTGGATTCATCTTTTGTATACACATGCAAATCTCAGCTCCCTTCGGCTGCTCCAAGATAGATTCAGTATATTTTGAGTTCTGTCTCTACTAACTAGTGTAAGCGCTAGACCACTAAAGACCACCCTCTTGAGAATTCACAAGGAAGATACCCTGTGGGCTCATATTCAGGTCCTATCAGCTACCACCAGGCCTATTCCTGGGCTCTCAGCTGCCTCAGCAACTGTTGGTAATCTGACAGAGAGAAAGGTGATGTTGAGAATATTTAACAACTAGAACAGAGGCACCAACCTATTAGAATGGCTGTAAAAACTGGTTCAGGCATGCTGGTGTACACCAGCTAATCTCAGCCTGCTCAGGTGGGCTCCACCGCTTGGCCAGCTGCTCTCAGGATGGCTTGATCCGGGTCTGCCAGGCCCTGGCAGGGCAGGCTTCCTGCAGCATGTGTCTGCTGCTGCTTCAGAGCCTGGGAGGGGGTCTGTGGCAACCTCTCTGCTCTCTCTGGGTGACACGTCCTTAGAGAGGAGCAGGACCACTGCTGCGCATGACGCATAGCACCCAGAGTTTGCAGAGAAACATCTCCCACCATGTTGACAGCCTTTTCCCTTCCCAGGAGATCCCAGAGGAGCCATTTGCCCAATGCTCAGAGTGGTGAAAAGCCTCAAATCTAGACTTTTGATGTGATTTCCGAGTGAGTTTAAATGTACAGTCACAGAGATACGCTGACTGGACTGAAAGGGGAGATGTTTATGTTTAAATCTGGTCTCGTGACCACACAGAAGAGCAAGTGGTCCTCCATAAATGAACATGTCTAAAAATCCTGTCTTTTCCAGCCAGGCACTGTGGAGCACACCTGTAATCCCAGCACTTTGGGAGGCCAAGGTAGGAGGATCACCTGAGGTGAGGAGTTGGAGACCAGCCTGGCCAGCATGGTAACCCCATCTCTACTAAAAATACAAAAAGTAGCCAGCTATTTGAGATGCTGAGGCACGAGAATCACTTGAAACCGGAAGGCGGAGGTTACAGTGAGCTAAGATCACGCCACCTTACTCCAGCCTGGGTGACAGAGCGAGACTCCATCTCAGAAAAAACAAAACAACAAAAAAAACACCTGTTATTTCCTTGGAAATGTGTATCACAGTAGACACAATCATTGTTGTCGGATATTGACTTGTTAAATACATATGTTTTTAAAGCACTATAATTTTTGTCACGGGTTTTGATGCTTGATTTTTTTTTTAATATATAGAAAGTGTGGAAAAATGGGAATGGCCCAGCATCAAAAACTCTGAGATGCCTGGGTCTGCCCAAGGTAACTGGCCTCTTACTAGAATCTGTCTTCTCACAACCAAAGCTCTGACCTCTGCTCAAGCTGGTTGGCCTGACTTTCTCTTCCCTGAGGATGAGTTTGTTTCCAAGTCTCCATCTCTTTTACAAGTTGACTTCCCCTAGAGCTGACTGACGAAGCCTGAGAAAGCCTGGCCGGATGAAATTCCAGGGGGCCCAGTTTAAGCTAAACTCGGGAGACCAGCACTCAGCAGGAACATAGTTACACTTACATCTTACATACTCACCACCTGCCCAGCTTCCATTTAGGAAAAAGGAGTTCACAGTTTTAAAAGTGTTTCAGAACAACTGCCTTAGAATGCTCATCTGCTGAGCAGAAGTGTGTATTTCTTAAATTTCAGACTGGGGCATCTTCAGAGGGGATGAAGGACAGTCCTTTCAGCTGGGTTCATGAGTCCCGTTCTTCATGTTCTGGGTCCCACTGCCAGAGAGTTCTGCAGTGCTGACAGCCTGCACTTATACGGTAAATATTGTTCTCGGTTTCTGAACCTTTGGGCAGATGGGGGTGAAGGGAAACTTAAGAGGACTCTCTCCACAGCCAATTGTTTGGATCATGAAATAAAGGAAACCTGGGAGCTGAAGAAGTCAGTGTTGAATCTCCTGGGCCAGAGGCCACCAGGGTCAGTTCTGCACCATCCTCTGTGTGACCTTGGGCCAATCACACATCTTCTGACCTCAGGTTTCGCTTGTGTGAGTTGCTCCATCCATCTAGTATCTCATTTCACTTATATCTGTTGTCAACTCTAGGCACAAGAATTTCAAACTGAGCTTAATCCTGCCCTATACTAAGATGAATTGGAACATGTCCATGAAAGTGAAAAAATTTACTAAAAATGTAACCACTTTGAGTCATAGCTTATTGAAAATGAATTAAATTCATTAGCTTCTAGTCACTGGAACAAAGCATTCTTTTCAGTTAAAGAGGGTTAGTCAAGAAAGACCTGCCAAAATTTTTCACTGTGCACAGTAGCATCAAGGGAGTTCAACTGCAGACCTTAGGGGGTTGGTTTTGCTTTGTTTTTCAGTATCTCACATGATTTAATTACCTTGTCCTGAGTTATATAACTCATTCCTCTTTGTGCTTTGATTTTTCCATCTAGGAAGGTAGAAAAGCTTGCTACCTTCAAATGCAGACATATTATGATCATTGTTGAGCATAATTTAAATACTCTGAATTTCTTAGATGAAAGCGACTATAGAAGTTGAAAATACGAAGAAGCCAAAGGGAGTATTTGACAAATATGATCTCATTAAATCTCAACACCTTCATAAAATAGATGAAGATACCATCCCAGTATTAATGAATGGAGACTTTGAGCAACTTAGGAAAACCATACAGCAAGTCTGCACTTTGCATTCATTTATACATATGTGTGTATAATTGCTTTCGGGTGCCAAAAGACATTTAAGACAAGTTAAGAAAATTTACAAAAGTAGGAAATAAAAGGTTTGCATTCATGTAAATGCATATTATATATAGCACAAATCGAAGTTGTGTTCCTCCGACATTTTAAGGAAACATTTAGGCTTTCTGTGCTACATAATGAAAGTTAATTTAAAATTAAATTTGAAAGATAATTTATGGTACTTATTCATTTATTATTTCTTTACAACAACGAAAACAGCTGCACTTTAAGTTGAATTTTATGCATGTAACCAACTATTGCAAATGTAAACACATTATCTTTCTTCTGGATAATTGTGAATTTGTACAACATAAACTATTAAGAGCACATTGTACCTTCAAAGCCGTATCAAAATAAACAGTCCATTTTTAATGGTTACTACAAAAGGACTTCCTAGGCAGTTTCTTTTCATCTTCTTTGTGACACTATCACTGACTCTATTTAGTGAGTCCTTTTGTTAACATCACCACCTCAGCTTGCTCTGCAGTCTACACTGCAGCTCATGTTTCCAGGAATTTGGAGAAAAGAGCTTTGCAACTCTTTCCCTTTATCTCCAAATATGTGTCCCTTGCCTGCTCTGAGGGAACTTGTGGGCCAATGAGTAGCAAACACTTAGGGAAAAGGGCACCTCTGCATAAGAGACCGCAGGCCATATTGAAAGATGACCTCAGATATTCTTTTATTATTATTATTATTATTATTATTATTATTTTAGACAGAGTTTCGCTCTGTCACCCAGGCTGGAGTGCAGTGTTGTGATCTCAGCTCACTGTAACTTCCAAGCGATTCTTATACCTCAGCCTCCCGAAATTACAGGCATGAACCACTATGCCCAGCTAATTTTTTTATTTTTCTGTATTTTTAGTAAAGATAGGGTTTCCACTCTGTTGGCCAGGCTTGTCTTGAACTCCTGGTCTTAGGTGATCTGCCCACCTCGGCCTCCCAAAGTGCTGGGATTACAGGCATGAGCCACCACGCCCAGCCTCATTCTTGACGAGAAGTGTGAAAGCAAGAGAAGACTGAGATGAAGACATGGAAGATGGAGGGCTTCTCCACTCCTGAAGAGGGCCGCTTCATGCCTCGATGTTAGGGGTCACAGGTTCAGTTCCCCAGGATCAGACAAACCCACAAGGCAAACGTCAGTATTAGGACCATTCCCAAGAGAAAGGCAGATGTCTTTTGTATCGTTTAATGTATTGGATTTTGCATGAAATTTCTATATGCTGCTTGGGAATGTAATATCTGATTAAGAACACAGAGCTGAGGAAAGTAGTAGGAAAGAGAAGATTATCTGTGTTTGTTGTCATTTCATATTACAATTACTTTCAATTCCTTTCAGCACAAACTAAATGAACAGGAAGAGGCAGCAAAAAGTGTACAATGTATTTGTGGGAATTGTAAATGTGGAAGGGAAGACCAGTCCCTGATTTATCAAAGATGGCTTAAATGAATTAAAACTTTTCCAAATTTCACCTTCAGAAGGACAACATAGCAAACAAACCCCAGTTTGCAAGGCCAGTTTCAAAAGAAGGCAGCACCCAGCAAAGCAAGCGTTTCAGGCTCTGAATAACGCTCAAATTCATCACAAACGTGCTGGGAATTTAAAAAGGAAGTTTGTGTTCTCATTGATTACATAACTAATAATTTTATGAAGCCTGTTTAAAATACTGATTTTCAAAACAGTGGTTATAATGTCAACTGGTTACACGGTGTCCATTTGTGACAATAAATGAAAAAGTGTGGGCATGCGTGTGCCTGTGTGTGTTTACAAATGAGACTATCCTTGCCGGTGGACCGTTCCAATATGAAAAAGATTCATACATTGTATTATGTAAACACAATTAAGGGGATCCATCATACCGGTGGTGAATGTGTAACCTGTATTTTCTTGGCACATAAGGTTCCACCAGGACTTCGATCTTCACAACATTACAGCTCAGAGCTATCCCACGTCCCACCAGACCCTGTCCCCTTCTCTCCACGCATCCAGCGCGCCCACACGCGTGCGCCGCGCGCGCGCACACACACACACACACACACACATATACACACACGCAGACTCAGGAGACAGTACACTCGGGAGATGAGTACAGCTTGCTTCTCTGCGGTCACCCGAGCACCGCAGGCTCACTTTACCTCTCGCCCAGGGAGGATGCCGGCTGCCGCTGGCTCGGTAGCTGCCCTCCGTCTCCACGGCTGTCCCCTTCTGGTTCAGCAGATTGGGGCCCTCCGTGTTTTCAACAGGTACCATGGTCACGTAGAAGTTACAGCCGCTCCCCCGCCACCGAACAGCCCCGACCACCCCCGCTCCCACGAGTGGTCACTTTCCCCATAATAGCATGCTAAAGAAGAGTGTGGGGAAAAACTTCGGGCAAAGCTAATGTGATTTGCGACCAACTTTGTTTCTATTTCCGAAGGCTTTGCCCTTTTCGGTGACACAGGCTGTTGCTATTCCAAGCAGCCTATCACAGGCAGGGGGAGGGCCGTGAGTCAGAGGATTGTTTTTGCCTTTAGATGCAGAGTTGGAAGCAAGGGGTTAAAAGAAAGGGAGCTCAGACGGAGTATTTGGGCATTAGCTAAGGGTAGCTCTTGTACTCTAGCACCTTTGAAAAGAGGCAGAGAAAAGAAACATGCAGATTTAAATGCAAGCTGAGAGTGGGGATAGAATACTCACAGATGGTATCAGTTAATCTTGCAGAAAGAGGAACAATTTATGCGAAGACATACCAGAAGGAAAAGTGTGTCAATTTTTCAGCGAGACTGTTATTCCAAAAGGCATGGTATTTACCAGCTTACACAAAGCATAAAATACCTTTATTGTTTCAACCTGATTTTCATCTGGGCAAATGCCTGTATCTTTCTCTCCAAGGCCTGTCAGATAAATCACAGCCTGAGATCAAGAATACACAAACTCAGAATGCGTAGATTCTTTAGACTTTTTATATGCTGAGGTTATAGCAAAGTAATCCTTTTTTTTAATGCAGAATTGTCTTTAAGAGACAAATTAACACTGAATCTTCTATTAGATTTCATGTTTGCCTAGGTAGGAGGAGGATACTCCCCACTCAGAGAGGCCAGACTAAGTGACCCATTGTGTGGGTGGGGTGGTCATGTAATCTCAAACAAAATCAGGGCATGAGAGGATCTTTTTCTGATTTGTGAACATATTTATTTAAAAAATCTTACAAGGTTATGACATTTTACCTTCAGTTATTCATTCAACAAATCATGTTTATTTAAAAAAAAAAAAAACACCTCATAGAGGAAATTGAGATCATCTTAAAAATCATTTGGAATAAAAACTAACATGTATGGAGCACTTATGTGCCGGAAATTGTGCTAAGCGCAATAACTCAAATGATAACTTTGAGCAGGTACCAACATTATAGAAGAAGAAATGGAGGTTGGGTAACCTGCCTACAGTCTCACAGCTAATCAGTGGTAGAGCTGAGATTATGAATCCAGGAAGTCTAAAACTGTAACTCTCCTATATTCTAACTTCCCAGCCTTGTCCTTTTCTGATTTTCTTGGCTTCCTACACATTCAGACCTACCTGACTTTAAGAAGATGCCATGAAATATGGCTTTTAGTCCTAGGCATTTCTCTGGACAGGAAAACAAATTTGTGCTTGTATAAGCAGAAGCTAAATTTTTGTTACTTCCTTTCAACATTTTAGCTGAATCACCGCAAAGCTCTCAATTCACTTATTTGTACATTTCCTTTGCTCATCGCTAGATAATTATATATTTTTCTCATCTTTCAGGGAAACAGGTAGCAAATGGAAACAAACCTATAATAATTCAACTATTATTTATTATGTACCCGTTGTATGTCTGCTGATAGTGCTGGAAAATGGAAGTCGTCCAGGCATAATCCAGGCCCCTTCTGATTAAGAGGGTAAGAAGTTCAGAATCCCACACATCAGTGTCCCCACTAAAGAATGTGTAATGCAATGATGGTTTGAAGCAACTCATTTTATTAGTTCCCAGGGTGCGTTACAATTATATAGGAGTCTCAATTTCTATCTGTGAGACACATGCTTCCCATAAGTTCTCTATATTCTCTTGGCTTCTCACTTCTTTCTGCTCAGAACCAATGACCTCATTAGGGGTAAAATGTTCTTGCAATGGGTTAGTTGTATCATTGCTTTGTTTCGTTATCCCACGACCTGTGTTTCTAGCAGCTTCTCAGCCCCATGGGAGTGTTTGAGTGTTTGCTATAGTGCTTGACTAGGCAGAAGACAAAGCTAATTCCAGAATACTTTACTATGGTTAAAAGCAGTCCAACAGTTCTCACTCTGTTTTGTGTAGCCAAACCGTACAGGAGATCCACAGGCATAGTAAGCCAACCACGATTCAAAAAGAATGCTCAGCAATGCAACTGACAACATCACCTCCTGGTGCTCCTAATTTTGTTCTTTATTCTGCTGGTGATCTGACCTGGGCCACTGGCTGTCTCAAGCTCTGTTTGTACTTACCTCAATCTCTTAACTCAGAGAAAAGTTTAGGGGAGAAAATTTTTTTCACCCAGACTAGAGGGGGGAACTCTGCCTCAATTCTGTTAAGAACCCTGTACTTCTCCTTCCCAGTCTTTTGCACACTATAGTGTATTTGATACAGTTACATGCAGTGATTCGATTAAATCTGCCTTTTCTACTAGATTGCAAACTTTGTGAGAGTATGGACTATGTTTGTTTACTTTATTATAGTATTCTGCGTGTCTGGCACTCAGCAAATAGTAAGTATTTGCTGGCTAACAGACTGATTCCTGTAAATCCAATTAACTTTAGCAATACTAGAATGTATGCTCCAAGAGGGCAGGCACCTATTTCTATCTTGCACATTCATCCAGCTCCTAGCACAATGCCAGGCATGAAGTAGACACTTAATAAATATTTGTTAGATAAATGAGTGCTCACAAATAGAGCTTTTAGTGAGCTAAATAACTATTTAGCTTTTAAATGTGAAAATCCATATGATGATTGCCTATAACATTTTGTCCTTCCTCTCTGCTTTCTGCCAATTCCTTTAGACCAAGTATAACCACAGGCTATCCCTCTTCTCTGGAGTTTGAGCCACTTCCATTATTAAAATCTGTTCCTCCACTCAAGGAATACGTAATCAGCAGACAGCAGACAGTTCATTCTTCATAACCCCAATACTTTTGCTACCTAACACTTTAGACTACTGCTCATAGGCAATGCTACCAAATCCAAAAACACCTATCCTGACTTATAAACTGGCACAGCAGGGAAGAAGGGATGAAAGAGAAGACAAGCAGATTCACAGGGCATGTAAACATCTACCATAGAGCATGCCTATTTTCATGGCAATTTTTTAAAAGCTTCACAACAACCTTGTGAAGTAAATACTGTTACTTCCGTTTTGCAGAAATTGAAACCAAGAAGCTTATGAAACATTTCCAGGATCAAAAAATTTTCCAATGTTGAATTATAAAATTTTGAATCCCACAGGAAAACCTACACTCAACATTTTACCATGTTTGCTTATTCACCTCTATATATAATAATTCTTCCATCCATCTTTCGATCCATATTAGTCTTTATACATATCAAAGTAAGTTTAAAATACTTCAGAATGCATATTATTAAATAGAGTTCAATACTTGTTTAGGTTCTTTTTCTTGAGACAAAAAAAGTTCCAGAAGCAACCAATTTTCTGATATTTTTCCACATAGATTACCTTTGCTTCTTCTAAACCTTCATTCATATAATGGAACCATAGAGAATGCAGCCTTGTGTAAGGCGTCTTTCACTGAGCGTAGTTTTGATATCCATCTGTGTTTTTATGTATATTAGTAGTTCATTTTGTTTATTGCTGAACAGTGTTATATGGGTGAATATACCGCAGTTTATTCTTTTTTCTATTGATGGACATCTGGGCTGTTGCCAATTTTTTGCTATTAAAAATAAAACTGTTATGAGCATTCTTGCACAAGTCTTTTTTTGCAGAACATGACATTTCAGAGCACAGCAGTTCAAGTCCATTTGATTCCAAAACCCACATGCTTTTCACTACACCCTATTGCTTCTCTGCAGTGCACCCTGCAGAGCACACTGATGTGGAATGCACCTTCTACAATGGTTCATTACAGTGTAAACACAAATGGGAAAATATGGTCTTTATGCAAACAAAAAAAATTCGAAATACAAATTCACTTCTTGTTTAGCCTTATTCCAATAAAATATTCATTTTGGTATGATTGTTTGGAAGGATATTTATTATTTCACCTGTTTATACTATCTAAATAACTTCTCTATCTGAAAGTTTTCATTATGACTTCTTTCCTTAGGTGTAGAATATTATCAGTCATAACATGTTGATTAAAGTTCCTCAAATTACAAAGTAAGTGTGGTTAAATTCATTATGGTATGCTCACTTTATGTAACATGTGATAAGTCACTAAAAGAAAGACAATGTAGCCATGCAAGAAAATAGTTTTTCAATTATTTTAAGTGGGTGAATCAAAGTGCCATACAGAAAGTTGCATACTCATTACTATTACAATACTTTTTATAAATATATGCGCCTATTGGTAGAGACTGGAAGGAAACTTGGAACAACTGAAAATAACTAATAAGTTGGGGTGGTAAGTCATGTGTAAAAAGTACTCTCTTAAAAGTTTTTTGCTTAATGGTTCTATCGGATTGTATATATAATAAATATAAATCTGGAGAAAACTTCTTCATACTTAGGGCTGCCATATACCATTGTGCAATTTGGACACAGTACAACTCTAAGTGGGTCATTCTCATTTGCAGACAGCAGACGTTTGCTTATTTATAAAGCAAATTTTCCAGAATATGACAATACTAATCTTGAAGAAAAGGCAGCTTTTTCTAATTTGCTCAAAGGTACATTGGGCAACTGATGGGGCTGTTCAAATTCTCAGCTCCCTTTAAATCACACCAACGTCGCATCTATTAGTTTGGCCTATGCCTGTCTTTGAACTGCCCAGCTACATAGAATGAGCACTGTTCTTCCTTTGATCAGCTATTTTTCCAAATAAAGTATTTTTAACTTAAAACTCTCCCTCAGTCCGATTGCCCTGACCCTTGGATGGAAGGCATTAACAAAAAGCTGTTCAATGATTAACCCTTTCCTTGAGATTAACCTGCCTTTGATACCATAAAGTCAGAAGAAGTTGCCTGATCATACATGACAACAAGCAGTAGCTATTGGGTTGGGAGCTCTGGTCCACTTTCATTACATGTCCTTTGTTTGCGAGACAATGAGGAGGGCACTGCACAGAAAATGACTACTTTCCAAGTTTAAATAATCTGAATAACTCAGGGAAAATTTGGAGCACAAAGCTTACTGAAATGTGAAACCTCATGCTCAGCTTCGGAAGATGAACTCCTTACATTTCAGTGCAGGTGGACATGTTAGAGCTTGTCGTGGGCTTTTATTTTCTTCTAG